TGTAGGACGCACCAGTGTGGCGGGGAGCACCGCAGATGAAATTTGAAACCGCGCCGGGCGCTGGGACTTGTGCAGGCGGAGAATGAGTCGAACGCGTATGGTTGTAGACGACGCGCAGACGTCCGCCGCCCGCCTTCCGGATTCGATCGTCATTGAGCCATAACTGGCCTCGCCCGCCGGCGCCGGCGGAGGAGACCATGGACAATGGGGGATTCGAAGAAGACGGGCTTTTCGACCGATGCCCACCGCCACTGACGAGTTCGAGCAGCCGTCGGTCGAGTCTTCGGCGTGTGCTCAACGCAACATTCCTCTCTGCTGTGCGGGACGTCCTCGCCCGGCTCAGTCGTTCTCGCATGGGCCGGGACTTCCCGGATGCGATTGATACACGTTCGATATGAAGAATACGGCCACTTTGTAGACAGGAACGAGTCCAAGGACGTCCGATTCGACCCTGACGCTGTCGGAACTCTAGCACGGCCTCTGCGGGAAGGCGCACACAAGCACTGGCATGGAATAGTTGGACCAGTAGGCAAGTACTCAAGGCCTCAAACTCAAGCTCAAGGCCTCACACAGCACTTCGCGGTGCGCGCTTGCTGTAGTTGCGCCCGCCGCACATGCAGACAAGACCTCCTTCTCTCTCCAGACCCCAGAGAGTGCGTGCTCAACAGACAAGACACAGCATGGACGTGTATTCCCTGCCGCCATCTGTCTGCTAGAGGGATCGCTCCATATGAGAGCAGTTCCGGCCCGAGAATGTCACCACAGCGGGACAGACAGTCCGGGATGGGCATGCATGCGCAAGCGCTTGCGAAAATGAGGGAAGACCGAGGCGAACAGAAGGAAAAGGTAGTGCTGACGGGGGTGCATGTAGGTGCGAGCTGGACCTTTTATGCATGAGGACGTGTCTAACGATGGTAGGATGTCGACGAGTGAGGGGGAGAGAAGAGCGGCCGTGCACAGTCGGCTTAGACGGTGCCCGAAAGTCACGGTGGACATGTGGCCGACGGGTTGTAGTGCAGACGGGAGACAGAGGTCGTCGGTCGAACACAGCAGATGGACGAGGGGACCGGATACGGGTTCGGATGTCGATCCAGAGTCGGGACGACCGCACCAACGAGGCTGGGAGGGTCGTTTTTTATAGTCTAAAAATATGACGTCAACGCGCGATCGGGCTTCACGGTCCAGTCATCCTCCGCTCGAATGACCGACTGGTCGATTCGCATTCTACAGTCGGTCTCTGTAGCATCTTTGTCAGTATATCCTCCTCGTCGCCTAACTCTTAGCTGCCGAATTCCCCGCTTCTAACAAGCTGCTCCCTCCGCGCCTGACCCTAAATTTGATGATTTACAAACACGGCCCCGTCTGGACATAGACACAGAATCTCCACGAGTGCGTTTGAATCAGGACGAAACATTTTCGCTCGAGCACGGGCCAACTCTTCCGTCCTTTTCCGTGACATGCTTTCCGTGCCTCAACCGGCGGCCATGTCTTCGAGCTCTTCAACCGCCCGTGCGAGCTCTGTTGAGCACGCTGTACGAGGGCCGTAGGTGCGCCATCCAGTTTTGAGAGCTTGCTGCTTCTTACACTCGTTTTTACCGACTGGGTATGTATCTCTCTCCGCGGAGGGGCAAACTCCTTTCTTGCGAGCCGCAGCACTCTTACGTCTCTGCCACGAATACCAAGTCTCCGATCTTTGCGATGCAGCCCTAGAAGTGGATAGACACAACATACGCTATCCCACATCAAACACAAAGAATAAGAGAATTCGTGAACTACAGTGGGTCCCGGGGTGTTTGATTTGACGCAGACGCTATGTGTGGTGTCTTGCATGCTCACATAATTTAGACAACTACATAGATCGATGTCGACGCAAGTATCCTTCCAAGCCTTCGAGAGCACAAGTATCCACGTATAGTGTCGGAATCCCTGCGCGGTAATGGCGGTCAGAGAATACACCGGCACTGGTAGCAAGTAACAGAACCGGTATGCAGATGGTTGAGATCGGGTGCGGGCTGCCTTCTGCGTATATCTTCTTTTAGAGGTGCGGTCTGCGCGAGGTGAGATGCGTGTCCCGGTAACTGTACACAAAGTGGGCCTGGGCGCATAGGCGCATCAGGAGGTGCCGGAGTGAGTTAGATCGCGCGGCGGAAACGCAGCTCGAGGTGAAGCATAGTTAGTGCGACGACCGCACTACCACAATCAGAATTACTCTAAGTCCGGTTTCGCTCATGCTTGACACATCTCCCGGTTGGAGGAAGTCAAATTGAGGAATAATGTCTCTTTCAACACGCCAATCGGAGTGTTCGAGCTCGCTGATTGAGAAGTGCATCGGATTCTCCTTTTATCTGTATTGACCGTGTCAGCGCAGGCAGTGGTGAGAGCAAGGGCGATATTCGTGGCCAATAGCATGAGCATAGAACTAGAAGTAGGAAGAATGCGCCTACTGTCTATCTCGCCCGTCGCACCGCCAGCTCTCCCGCATCCAATCCCCACCATCCCTGAAAAACATCACCTACACGACTCACCGCACCCGTCAAGCAAGTGCAAATATTGTGAGTCTGGTTTATAATGCGCGTGAGTATGGCCCTGTGAAACAACCAGCAAGATGTCACAGACAAAGCCCGGATATCCACAAGTCTAGAGCTATTGTGAACGACGGGAGCGTGCACAGTAACGTACAGGAACATCGCTATCTGAGGCCCGGATCGAATTTAGTCAGGATCCGAATCCGGGGAGGAAGCTATCTGAGAGGTCGTAGACAGCGAGACAGCCTGGAGTATTCTCGCGCGCAAATAAATGCGATCTTTATAACCTGCTAGGATGGAGATGTGAGCACCAGACAAGTTTGCATCGAGACCGCGTAGCACATCTCGCGTCTTTCAGGGACGCACAAGAACCCATCTCATCCTGTTACCAGTGCTGTGCATGAAATAAAGACCTTGCGTTTGACGGAACTATCGTGCTGGGATGCTGGATAGCGGAGTTCCGGCCCTAAGAACGATAGAATGGAGACGGCGAGCAGTGTTGTTGATACTGTAGACGATGAATTTGGCGAGAAGGGATGGAGCGCTGCGATATCTTCGTGCACTGAGAGCAAAGCGGAGACTCTAGAGCATTCGACGTGGTATACGATGAGAACGTAGGCAGTGAATCGACGGATCGAGCGCGTCCTCTGCCACGACCATCTCTGTATCAGATACAGAGAAAAAGGTCCAAACACAATCGTCATCGTGTACTGAGCGGCGACACTCGTTCATTCAATTATACGATGCCACCCTCACGCAGGCGACGGAGAAGGGTCAGCGGAAGAGGCCGTAGATACCAACAAGCTGTCAGTGGAAATCCGAGGAGTCAGACTTCGGACATGGACGAGGTTCTCCGTTCTGCCGCCGCCTCTCGTCATGGACATGCTTCCAAATCGTGTCTCTTGTGCAAGGCCGGCAACGGGAAGCAAGCGTCACCTTGCTCCTACATCCATCTCCAAACGGTGGCCATGGTGTGTGTGCCACATTCGCCTATCAGCGGTCAAGCTGTATGCAGACAGATTTAGTGGCTTGGACAAGGAGATGTTCCGCCTACCTGTGGAGTTCATCGCATCCAACGCTGCTGACCCCTCGAGATGTTGCAAAAGACTTATTATGTCCATGGATGAACGACTCGGAGGATTGCGCGAGTCCGTCGGTGGATGCCGAAGGGGGCACACTGGGCGTCTCGTTGCCTGACCACCGAGTCCATTCTTCCACCATCTTCTCCTTCTCTTCCTCCTCCTCGTTTTTCTGTTCCACTCTATACTGTCTCCGTAGGTGCTATGGGACCACTTCTGACAATATCCACTGTCCCCTTTGGGTGAAAACTGGACGCGCTGTGGACACACCTGAGCTCGCATACTCGACATGGTATGGAGCAACACGCTAGTCGTCGCTTTTCTGCCACATCTCGATGATTTGAAGGCTGCGACTTTGCAAATGAGTCTCCAGAAATCGCTCTGTATCCCTATCTGTTCTCGAGCCGCTTTCTATCTCCTTGTCCGGCTTAATAGCCTGTCGATGTACTGTGGGCAACGCTCTATGTAGGCGCAGTCGGAGACATCATAGAACTGGGCTTATGCGCTGGGATCCGGACGTTTGTCGAGGGAAGACGCGTTCAACTATGGTGAGCGACCTCTATCATCACCCTTCACCCAGATCTGCGGAGAGCGTATGCGAGCTCTTCGCTTCCGTTCCGCTTTTGCCAGTCACAGTCACGCTGGTCTCGCTATTGCTGTTTCAAACCTTGCATGTGTATAACTCCGTGGACACCAGTGGCCTCCGGTAGCAGCTTGTTGAACTCCCGTAGAATACAGTATCTCCATCCGCCCGATTGGTCCCAATCCCCTTGCTTTATCCCAGATTCCCTCTGTGACAATTTATTCGCCGTGCGACGCTCACAGGTTCTGGCATCACGTCTGATCATGGCCCGCATAAATGCGTTTCCCGCCACGCCTGCACGTCTGGCTCTCGCTAAGCTCTCTATGGTTTGAATTCGCGTCTTACGTGGCCGCTCAACTGATTGTCATCAAGTAGGTTCAGTGTCATTGCCTGCATCGCAACCCGAGGGAGCGTGTACGTATGCTAGGTACGTCCTACTTCATTCTTGTACGCTATGAGGACAAGTACGCTCGCGTGCTCCCTTACACTCATGTGCTCCCATTCGTTCTATGCCAATCATGATTCCTCCCGTTCAATACACCTGGACTTGTCGGTAGACGAGATCAGCTAGTAAGTGTTCAACACGATGATATTCAATATCATGGTAAAATGCAAGTGTTAAATAATTAGTCTAATAATCAGAGTACATGACAGCCACCATTTCCATTCTGTGGTCAGCTGATTACGACCACAATGCGCTCGAACTAGGGCAGAACTAAGACGATTGGGCATTTGCATATGGCCACGTAATAAACCGGTTTAATCTCACCTGAATGCACTGACGTCGGCCGCCTACATGATGGCGTGAAGGGGTCACGCATTGTCGACATGACCGCCTTCGTGTAGCTATTTGTGAGAATTAAGTATCGGGAATACATGCGGAGAGTGCGCGCGCGTTCTACATACCATTTCATCTGCTAGTCCTTCCCGTCTAATTTCGACTAGCTCGATGTCCTCGTTGGCTGGCGAAATACTACTAGTTGACCTGGGCAAATCATCCTCCTCCATGCAGCACTCAACATCCCTTGGTAAAGATAAACCATAGGCAAGAGGTCCATCCATGTCTCCAACAAGACTTGTCTCAAAGTTTCTGCTTCTTGTCTGTGCATACAGTTCTTCAGTAATGAACCCAGAGGAGGGATTCATAGTATGTGCAGATTGAGAGGCCATTTGAAGGTTGAGCATGAACCATGATATGAGGATGTTAGGCATGCTAGCAGGAAGTTGATTAGTACTAGATGCTTGACATATACACAACTGGGAATTAGATAGGTTACCCACATAGACAGAAATATGTTTGCATATAAACCTAAAACCTAAATGTGTCTAGTTCAGAAATGCCTAAGTGTATAGGAATAATAAATACACACTGATCCCTTTTCACCCTGATAGCCAAGTATAAGCCCTGCAATCTGCAGTGTGAGGTCTGTTCTATACATGGTGATTGTTAAACTTCTGTTGAAAACACTGAAAACACTGAAAAAAACAAGCAGTCTTACAGAAAGTATACTGTCCCTGTTCAGTTTTGTCAATTAAAATAAATAAATAATTTTCAACTTGAGAATCTTACCATCTCTGAAAATGATCAAAATCAGAGGTTGTTTGAAGCCATGGTATTGAGTTGATATACCTGATTGGAGTGTGCACTTCCAGCCAACAATGATAACAATGATATCTGAGATAATAGTGAATATTACACTTATAGTGATTACTACAAAGAGATTAGTCTCAAGTTAGCTGTTAACAAGAGGGCACTTAGTACATCTGTTTTATACCAAGGAATATCAATCATTATTTTATACATCATATTCTGACACTTACTTCAAGTATCCAGACATTGTTATGTCATAGCCATGTACACATGATATTGTGCTATTCAGAACATATACAAAATGAGATGAATTTATATATGCAAACTGCTTTAATATAAGGGTATATCAATATCCCAGAAAAAAATCAAGACATACTATATTAGCTACCAAAGGCCCAAGTCCAAACAGAAGCACAAGTATTGCAAGTGGTTTATTGAATTCACTAGTAGCATATAATCGTAGAGCAGCAAATACTATTAATAGAACACTGAGCAACAGATAGCACTCAAAGTAAATGCAAGACAAACCTGCTACAGCAAGCATTGTTACAGGTCCTAAATTTTCTCCAATAATAGTTATAGCCTCACAACTAGCCCTGTTTAGTAATATTATATCCAATAAAGGCATTACAGACAAACCTCTAACCATATAGTATGAGTTTTTGCAGGAAGATAAGAGTTTACAGTGAGAGAGCTTACCATATTAGTCACAGGAAAAAGATTGGTTGCATAATATCCAGCATTCAGCAAGAGTACATATCTGTTGATGAGAAACACAATTGTGGCTCCAGATACAGGATGTAACCAGAACAGATCAACTTCAAGGGAGAAGGTGATGATGTATTCATAGATTATAAGAGCTATTATATGTCAATATTTTGTAAATGCATGATACTGTACATGGAAAATTCCACACCAAAGCATGCATAGCCACAGATATTGGTCAAGTATCTAGTGATGGGCTATAAGTAATGTGTGTGCTCTCATGTCATTATGAGTGGAAGACAACTCACAGTGCATCAACCCAAGTTACCATAGATGCAGCCAAAGACATATCAAGAGAATGCTTGTGCAAGGGTTGTAGACGTGGGGGCCAGTTGGAAAACAGTTGATTGAGATATTGTAGCGTACAGGGGTTCAAGCTGCTTACTGGAAGCATATTGGTGCCCACGGTGTTATATACCCATGGTTTGACACAACTATAGCGAGACCGGCATTTCTGTTACGGAACATTGCAGCTCGATGCACTTCAGAAGTGTGTATACCACCTTACCCATATCAATAACAAGTCTATCTATGTAGGAATGGACGCGCTGAGATGCCAGGGGGAAATGCTCATCAATTCGAGCGCCATGGAGCTGCTAGCCCACTTGAGTCTTGTCCGGTATTAGTGTAATGAATCTGTGGCGAGGCCATCTGAGTGAAAGCCATGGAGACCCGAAATCGAGGTGTAGATACGCACCCTCATCTTCTCTAAGCGAATGACACGTTAGCACACATACTCAGTCGCTGTGCGTAATTCAATGAAAGCAACAAAAGCGGTGCTTACCGTCAATGCCGGCAACTAGTGATACAATGGTGTCCGAATCATATCAGAGGAAGCACTCTGCTAACAGCAATACGACCCGAACAGCACCCCTCAGACTGGTCACTACAAAGTATGTGGCCTGGCACTTGAGATCGAGACTAAACACCAACTCGGGCCTGCGAGAACCAATGTCCCAAACGAAGGCCTTGACTCACCAGTGAAACCTCGGGATCCGTCTCATATGCTACTTAAGAAACGGCACCACCAGTTAGATCATGAGATACCGATGTCGGCTCATCACAGGCTATCCCCGCTCAACTAAGCTCAACTGCAATCTCATGATGACGAATAGCTGAAGAACGATAACATCGCTTGAGCTGGAAAGTACCGTACTTTACACGTACATGTTAGTGCCTTCTCGATCATTCAATGAACACGGGCGGAGGCAGGATGTCGATCGAAGTCGAGAGGAGCACAGCCAGAGGCGGAATAAAAGCGCTAGAAGGACAAACAGCAGATGCTTAGGTTCGATAGAACTGGAACATAGAATTACGGACGCGTTACGGTGCAAACGGGTGACAAGACAGAAATGAAATTCGTTAGACGAGGGGACCGGACTCAAAGGGGCGACCACGCAAGGCGAATGATCTAAGATAGATTCCGTGCCGGCAACTACCGGCGCCCAGCGTCTTCCGCTTCCCGAACGCCTCTCCAGCAGCTTGTTCACAATGACGTTGAAGATTGTTGAGCAGTGTTCCCCGTAGGCCACTGGTGTATCTCTGGGGAAAAACTCCACTCTGGGAACTATGCCCCTGGTCTTTCATCTAGGGGCTGGAATCCCTCACATCCCACTCTGCAGACCTTAAAACCCCATAGATCATTACTCCACACGCTGTGCATCTCCAAAACGTCCAGTATGTCTAATCTTTCCCATACATACATCGACACTCTCAGTAACTCTCAATGAAAGCGGCCATACACATGTGAGGAGAGGCGAGACGGACGGCAGAGGAGTGCATGGCAGAAACGCCGGATGGTACTTGCACCTGCCTCCAACCACTACGATGGTCTCTCTCTGCTTTTCCCTCCACTGTCGCGCGCAAGAGCATAGTGCAGACGCACTGCGCGGCTGTGTGACCCTGAGAAGGGGAGCAAGAGGAAGGTCGTGCAATCGGGTTGATATCTGCGGGGACGACACGGCGCGCACAAGACAACTCTGTCTGATGTTTTCTGTGCGAATGAAGATGTTCGTTTTGGTGACAACCGGTCGGGCGGCGCCCTGCGATCTCGAAGAGAAAGAGGATGTGGTGGATGCAGGACATGTCAACGTCGCGGGGCTCGAAGTTGGAATCCTAGGTGGCGCAGCTGGAGACAACGCGGAGAGACGGTCAACGGTCAGGCGAGGTTTTTTTACTATGTCCAATCTCTGGGGCTGGCTAACTTACCGGAGGAGTATGCTCAGTCACCCGCGTGACAACAACACATGTGCTCGGTTATCCAACCACCCGCCGAGCGCTGCCCCGCGGACCCAGCGGCGAGAACATCGGATACCCGGACGACTATGACAGGTCGTGGACACCAAACCCCAAGCCCATATGCACGCGAAGCTGTGTAGGTCCGTCTTCCTCGCAGCCCTATATCTCCAATAGGCGCACCATTCAACAGAGACAAGATGGAAGATGGAGATATCATGATGTGGAATTGCGCCTATATGGCCAGACCCCGGGCTGCTGCAATGCAGGGCAGGTGCACACGAAGGCCTGAAACGATGCTGAAGCTCAAAACGAGGAGGAAGCGGCGAACGTACTGGCGTGGCGGGGAGCACATTTCAATGGGCAGTAGGTGCGTCTCGATTGGATGTGGGGCTGGATGCTCGATGCTGTGCACGACGCGGTGGACCCGCATCTGGCGGCGGAGTGGGCGGTAATGTGGAGAGACAGGCTGCGGAGAAAGGGTGTTGGAGCCTGTTGGGCGACTTCATACTTGATGATGGGCGGACAGCAGTGCTTGTAACTCTGTCGGGTGCGGCTCATACATGCGGGCGCGGGCATACTATACCATGTACGCGGGTGGATAGGTCCGACACGATAAGACGTTAATCGATATCAGCAATCGAGGATGAGTGAAGAAAGCGGGCTGGATGAGTGAAGACCACACCAATGGGACTGCAGCAGATAGCACAAGTTGAGGGAAAACCCCTTGGAGCTTTAAAAACGTATGATTAGTACTGCTCCTTATGCCCATTCTCCGATGGTCCTCGAATGCAGTGCTAAAGTGCTATTTTTCGCCCCACAGGAACAATACTCTCACTTGGCGATCGCGAACAGACCCTAGGCTCGCTACGAACATGCTTCAAGTACCATGCAAACTGACGGGAGGTCAAGAGGACGGGTGTGACACATACCTGTAGGAACCCGTCGGCCGTCTACGATACCACGCAGAGTAGCTGGGACGACTCGGCTGCGGGAACTGGTTTGGCGATGTGGATGAGACGCCTTCTGAAGAATCCTAGGCCTTACTGCGGGTTTGATGACTCATGCCGCTTCTAGATATCTATATACATGTACGTTTGGGATACAACGCTATCTGGACGCAAGCTGCCACCACCACTATTCACCAACTTTGCTGACTTCATTCACGTATCACTCCGAGAAGCCGGATGCTTCAAACAATCGTCGCAACTCTTTTCTGCCGCAGCAAATACTGCATCTCCATCCTCGGCATGTGTGAGTGACATCCGAAACGGTGTTTCTGGTCTTCCCCTCAATCGAACGCACAAACTGGAAACGCAAGCTCGAACAACATAGAATTATCTGGCGGATGCAGTTCATACAGCGTAGGTCTAACATTGCTGGCGTCCGCCCAACATAGTTCTGGCTCTCCGCTACTGATACCTGAACAATATCGAGGCAGCAAAGTTTGTGGAACATTGAGACGCCGAAAGTGCGCATGTTGTCTCCGAGGTGGAGCATGCCGCCTTCTCCGCGGGGCATCGTCCTGTCCCATTCGGAAGTTCAGACAGGGCTGTCTTCCATGTAGGGCACAGTGTTCTCGAGCGTCATGCGGACTGGTTCGAGGGGCGGAAGGGACTATGTTCGTGAGCAGTAACTTTGAAGGGGTGACTTCATAAAGCAGATTAGGAGCACTACAGCGACACATATGTTACATACTATATGCGCGACCTTGGGCTTTCCATGTAAAGAATCCCGCAGCGATCGGAACAAGTATGAAGAACAGCGGCGATGTGGCCAGGGCGAATTGCCGCATCGCGGCAATGCAAGGCGAGTTCTAGTAGAGCATGGCTGGGAGTAGACTGGAGGTTGTTCATATCTTACATCCAAGGCCCGCCACAGATTCCCGCAGTCCAACACACGTACTGAATATCTATTCGAATGTAATGCCAGTGTGCAAAGCTTGATCACTACGTTGATTTGAGTCAGGGGGAGAGGAAATAGAATATTTTCCCGCGATGGCTCTCATATCTATAGCTTTCTCTATGCGTGACAATGATTCCAAGTCGAACAATGAGTGTCTGTCGATAAAGTATATATGCTTCTACCTGTTGCATAGATATATACCGGATGCACCAAGGTAAACACCCACTCAAACAATCATCAAGTATGCGTGAATGAATAGACCCTATGAGTTGCATATACGCATGAGTCTTGAGCACTCTGGAAGATGTTGCCACCCACATGATCAGACTGGATGGTCAGATACCGTAACAGAGATTGACAAAATCACAATCCGCGCCAACACAACTGGACTCAGTAGAGTCAGTAGAGTCAGTACAGCCTGAGAGAAGATCAACAAGACATCGATGAAGCAGAAGAATGTGAACCTACCTTGGCGACTGTGAATCTGAGGGAGTGCCATGGCATTTGCGAGCAGGACAGCCAGCAGCAAGAATGGGACTTTGCTGGAGGACGGCATGGTGGAGGCTGGAACGTAATTCAGACGAGGGCTGAATGTTGCGTACTGAATGCGATGGAGGCTCTTGTATTTATTGAAGATGCATCTCCGTGGAAGTATCACATTCTGATTGAGTCGGTCTCGAGTTGCCTGTGGGGAAAGTTATATGCCTGATGTTGGATGCGGTGATATCAAACTCTAAGTTCCGTGTAGGGAATGGAAGTGACTGTGTTCTATTCGGTGGCAAGAGGAGGCAGGACAGTCACACGCTCGTCGTCTGGAGCAAATACGATGATTCTGCGAATGTACAGTCTTCTGCAGCTGCTCCACAATGATGTTAACTCACATAGGTTAGCATGCATACCGATCACGGAAGTAATAAATAAGAATGATGGCTTCGCGGTCAGACTCTACTAAATTGCATGCGCATTGCACCCTCAGTGCTCTGCTATCAATCTGAGCATCCTCAGAACAAGTCAAGAAGCTCCTGTGCTTGCACGTCCTGTATTTCTGCACGTCCTCAGTTCTTGCCTCCGTGTTCTGCATTTCTTCCCATACGACCCGCATCTCTGCTCAATTGCCTGTATTTTTGTCTGTGTGACCTGTATCTCCCTCGTGTGATCTACTTGTGTCTGCACGGGGGACATCTCCGGAGCGAAAAGGGGAGGCTGATGGCGGAGGGTGCGGGAGTCACGAGGAGAGCAGTGGGATAAGGGAGGCTGACGGCGAGGGGCGCGGGAGCATCGGAGACGATGACGATGATGATGGCAGACAGGGTAGTAATCGTACGAAACAATGAGCGAATCTAGTACTTACGTCGCCGCCGATGGGAGGTGCGGTCGCCTATTTCTGCAACGACCGATCTACTACATAGTTAGGAAAAATATGTTTCTCTTATTTATCAGTCCGTCTTTTCTGTGAGCACACGATGTCTAAATGCTCCACGACATGGCCCCCCCCCCCCCCCC